GGAACACTCCTAGCGGGTGAGTGCATTAAAATTCCGGCTTTCATTGCTTTTTGCATGCCGTTTTGGAACAACCTAATGTACATACGTTCTCACCGCAGGTGCACAATAACCTTTTGTTTATGTCGGCCTAACTGGGCGGTCATATTTTTCCTATTTCCCTTTTCAATATAAATTAATTGGTCTCAGTCGACAATAACGGGAGTGTACTACATGCGATTAGCCTCTTGAAAATGATTGGTATTGGCTATACGACAATATGTGACTGTAAAGAAAATCTTATATTGGTTGTATCCCATATTAAATTTAAGAGTTTAGGGTCTACTTTAACTTTTTGTATAACTGCTTTGAAAAGCAAACACAATTCTTGTCTTGTTAGTGCGAAAAATAAAACTGCGGTGCCTATAGCCATAAAAGCTAGAAGCCGTCGGGTATTAAAAGTTTTCAGTAAATATCCTTCTATAGTTAGGCCAGAAAAGTTTAGGTTAGGTAAGGAGCAATCACCGGAAGTTAAGAGACACGAGCCGATTATATATATAATTATGAATTCGGCTAATCTCAATACCCCAGATGTGCGTGATTCCATTTCGTCATCTTTTAGGCAGCACACGGGATCAGGTAATTTATTCAACCTTACTGAGAGCTGTGGCATTGTAAGTGCGAGGAGTGCCCTCGACCGCCTCCTATCTCTGCTTAGCCAGAAGGATCTAGCAAACGCGCAAGTCCTGGTTTTCCCAGCGCCCGCTGAGCTGATATGCGGTGCATCTATCCAGCGATCAAAGTCTGCCCCAGTCACTTTTTGTCTGTTGATAACGCTTTAAGGGCGTTCCCCATAAGGTTACCTTGACCCTGTATCCAAAGAAACCTTATACAAAATTATTCACACGCAACTTAAAGAGAGAGCTGACAGACCTTAACCAGAAGTGCCGCTCCTCCCAACTGCCCTTGAAACTGGGGGCAGAAAAAGCTTTTAGAAACCACTTCGGCGGCGCAGTAATCCGTGCGATCAGGGATCAACTCGAAGTCCTCCAGAGCCCCAGAGTTTACAGACCTTAAACCGGTCAAGTACTCGGTTTCCCTAAGTCTTAGGACTGTTCGCACTGCGGCAGACTTGTCATCGGTGTCGACAACTTTGTTCGAAACAACCAATCTCTTTCCAATAGCTCACTTATAGCAGTATAGGGAGGCCACTGATGCCTTCCTTGCCCTTTCCTCGATGTCCGGCCTCCACGACTGCTTCCTGCCAAGAATACAGCCCAAGTACTTTACCTTGTTAGACAGCTGAATTCGCTAACTTCTAACAGGGGGAAGACCAGGGATTTGATACTTTCTAGAGTGAATAAGACCAGTTCATAAAGGGTACCCAAGTATCTAGCTTTAGCCATGAGTGCAACAGTGTCTGCATAGGCAATTACTCGCGTTTCTCCAACTCCTCTAGTAGATCGTTTGCCATTACGACACAAAGCACAGGTGGAAGGACGCCTCCCTGCGGGGTGCTTCTATTCACAGTGCGAGGCAAGAAAGCGCTGTCCCATATTGCCATGACAGTTCTGTCAAAAAGCAAGTTATGCATATGCCAAATGAGGCTGTCTTCAACCCCTACATTATCAAACGAAATAACTATAGCCTCCCGCAAGAAGATATTAAAAGCCCATATTTTATACATATCTCAAGCGGACTGTTATAGAGTTTGAGGTTAGTTTGAATGTGCTCCACAAGGCTGATATCACCACAGCATAGAAAATGTGACACGTGAGTTGAGGAATTGTGCAGCATGCGATGTTGTTACGGTTGTCTGTAGATATTGCATAATTTGGTATAGGACTCGTGAATTGGATGGAGACTCCGACAATTTTCCTCCAGGTCCATACCATCGGTAAACAAATTGCTATCCACCAAAGAGAAAGTAGGAGGATAAAGGACGGTAAACTAAAAAACAATTCTTTGAGCGCCTTTAAAAGTCATACCAAAATTGTCTAAGTGACGACATTAAAATCACACTGACAACTCAAACACCAGGGTACAAGAGAATATTGCCAAATAGGAAAATTCAGCATTCATCCGACAACGGAGAGAAGCTGATCGACGGCGTCGCGGCACGGAACATGGTAGTATTATAGAAGCAACAGACAACAGCATCGAAACATCAACGAAGCCGCTTGGATGTCCCCTTTTGAAATAATGAAGAGCCAAGTTCATCATATTGTGATGGATGGAATATGCGGTCCGAGCATTCTTGTTGCGCGTTCTATCCGAGGAGCCAACATCTCACTCGGATTACTACCATGTGTCAGATAAGGACCTCTGGCAATGAACAACGTTGCGTCAGGCAATGCGACGAAAGTTCTACGTCGAGGCACTGCAGTCACAACAGAAGGGGAGAAATTTCGCTATCGACTCGACAATCTTTCTTAAATAAGACCGGGTATAAATGAGCATTGGGAATCCATCTCCCAAACGTTTATTGCCGCTGCAGAAAAGGTAGCTGGCTACGCAGGAACAACTGCTCTGACGAAGAGTGCCAATTGATGCTACAGAGAAATACGAGGCCACTCGACGGCAAATAGCTATGAGGGGAGACGTCCATACAAAAATAGAAAGAGAGGAAAAAGACGTGAGTGCAAATTTCTTAAGACAAGAATGCTGGTTCGAAAATTCGACTGAAAATATGGCAGCAATCAAATGGTTTTAGGGCCGGGCTGGTTTTTGCAGAGACACACGATGGGTCGATGGGAATAGATGTCCAGAGTACACTTGAGTTCTGTAGGAAACACCATTTAACGCATTTGATGGCACATCGACGGCGCGTTTGATGAAGAAGAACCCAGACTAAAGTATAGGAACGAAGCTACAGGGACGACTTTTACTCGAAATTGGCCATGCAGATGGTTTACTGTCTGGCGGAGGAGAGCTAGTAGGGCGCATGTATCAATTATTAAGAGAAATTCGGTCTAACGAATACATCCCCGATGATTGGAATCTGAGAGTACCGGCGACGTGTACTGCCGAATACGAAGAAGGAGGAGGCTTTTAAGAAGAGAAAGCTTACATTGTTACGCAGTCAAAACTTACTGCCTAGAATAGGGGATGTAAAAGTGCCAATTCAGTTGATTTGCTAACAAATGTAAGGAGCCATCAACAATGTCTTTAAGTACATAAAGCAGGTAAACGCAGAGCTTTTTAAACTGAATAGTCTGAATAGCAATCCGGCATAAAAATGTAGCGGTTTCGATCCCTTACAGTAATGGTATGCCAGGTATTGAAAAGTAATTAAATTTCATAAAATTTTTTTTGTTTTAAGATTCTTCTTATTTCGTTATAGGAAAATTTAAATGTAACCGCGCAATAATCGTTGTTAGTATTAAAAAAAAAAAAAAAAAAAAAATATTCCGACGAACTGATAACCTCCTCCTTTTTTGGAAGTCGGTTAAAAATGATATGCGTTTACGCATACGCTGACTTGCTCTAATTGCCGTCAATTATTTTGTTCCCTTCAGCGAAGCAAATGACCAAAAGGTTAAAAGCTCGTTGGCTTGGAAATAGTTGGTGAATTGGCGTTATGCGAAATTGAATTAAATGAGGCGTATGTTTTGAAATCTCAGCATATGCTGTCAGCGAATATAACAAATGTTCAGAGCAGTCTGCTTATTATCATTTCAAGCGTATGGAAAATATTAAAATAAATTAATTTTTTAAAGAAAATGTGACTCAACTTAACATAATAGTAAGGTGTTAAAAAATAAAAGAAAATAGAAAAATTGTAAATTTAATTAAGTAAAAAAAAAATGTCAACAAAAATTAAAATTTGTTTGTGAAATGCCGTTATTCTACTCGACATTAAATGGCGAAAATTTGATTGACGCTAACCAAAAGTTGTACATTGGAAAAACACCCTTATCACTACTTTATGCCGTATTTCCACTGGGCACTAAATGACAAAAACATTTATAAAAAATTTGGACAATACCACAAACACAGTGTCACGTTGAAAAACAAAAATTATTGAGTATTCATTTGAATGCCTAGTGGAACCACGTCATTACTATTAACGCTCATTAGGTTTGTTTCCGCATGGAGTTTTTTGAATGGCACAAATTTCTCGTCATTTAAAAGTTAGTAATAATTCGGCATAACATTGAATGTTGGTTAAAAGTAATATTTGCGTATATTTTATTTAGTATTTCTTTATTATTTAATATTTTTTAGCTTTTCTTATTAATTTTTGTTAGTAATTTTTGTCATAAAAAACACACTGCAGACGAAAAGAAACGTTTAATACCACATAGAAATATTAACAGTTATTTCATAAGAAACAGCGCTTTTAAAAAAGAAGAAAATACAAAAAAATTAAAAGTTTTCCAATAACTTGAATTTGTTTTGCCTTTCGAAAGACAACTAAAAGTTAGTGATTTTGAGCAAATTGTGTGACGAAATAGCCCGAAAGAGATTTAAAAAAAAAAAAAAAAAAACGACTAAAAAGTAGGACATCAATGCTAAAATAAAGTCACTTTTCATTTTTTTCTTCAATAAATACTTAGAGACCTGCCAGATAAAATTTAAATTTTTATTTGATCTTAGCATAAATAAATAACAACACAAAACGTAAATATTATTTTCAACGGGTACATGTCACTTACCAAATTTAACCACGCATTTGTGGTCAGAATCTGATTCTTTTCGTCCTATAAAAAATTTTAGACGCATTAATGTATTTCAAACTAGTTTTTTTTCTTTTATTAACTTGAAAATCAAAAAAACATTTTTTTTTATTTCTTGTTAAACAATTTGCCTCCGTTTTGGCCTTTTGTCATCTATGCAGTTGTATTTTGTGTTTATTAACCTTTATTTGTGTTTGTTGAAAAATTTGCTATATTTCATTTGATTTTTTTTTTCTTTTTAAAACGATTATTTTTTGTTAGTTTTTAAAAAATAATTAGTTTTTCAAAAACAAAATGTTGTCTCTTTTATGTGTGTTGTGCAATTTTGGATTTCCAAACACTTACCACATCAATAATCTGTTGCAGTGTTAGGCCGAATTTGACTTCTAGCGGTTCCGATTCGTTCGCTACGGGTCGTTCGAGTGTATTATAGGTGGATAGAAGATGGTTAAGTAGACGTTTTTCGTGTGGTCCTTGGCAGCTTTCTGGAAATGAAAAACGATAGAAAAAGGTTTTTAGAAAATATGCCCTAAAAACGAGCACACAGTAGATAGTATGCAGATAGTTGTACAAGTGAACAATTATATACATATGTATTTCATAACTAGGCGCTTCTATTCGTTAATAATTTAATGACGTATGTATATTTACGTATTTTATATTCGTATTTTATATGCGGGGAGAAAAATTGTTTCCTAGAAATGGTATTGACTTCTTTAAAATCAATATTTTTCGATCGGGAAAGTTTGTTTATCTTCAGGCGCTCAAATTTAAGAACCTTTAGAAACTATTGCTAGAGTTAAAAATTTGTTTAACTTCAGAGGTTAGGTAGATCTGTTTAAATTTTTGTTTGGATTTTTAAGCTTGATGGAGTACATTTTAATCCAGCTCGAAAAGTGGAATAATTGCAAGGAATAATGCAGTGAAGAAGGTTAGGTTATGTTGGGAGGGCGTGTGTGGAATATTTATTCTGTACTTTCACTCGGAGACAGAATTGTCCATTGCGAGTGCCCCCTTTAAGCGAGTGTCTGGAGGAAATATCTAGATACCCATAATCGAGAGAGTAGCTTCAAGGTACTATTTTACTGAACTAATTACTATAATGAAGCCAAGGAGATCCAAGAGTTCCACCTCCTTTATATCGCCCAGAATGTTGAAGAGGCATGAACCCAAATGCTTGAGGCGCTCGGTCTGTAGCACTGTAGCTTAATTTTCATCACGGCAGCTTCTGTAGGGCGTACTTGTTGGTATCGCCATCGTTGAAGAATTGGTGCTTTAGCACAGTGTCCTGCGATGAAACCGGTCAAGGCCTTTACTGAAGACCTTTTGAGGCTCAGTAAGTTCTTCGTCTTTTTCCTACTAAGCCGCGATCATAATAACTCTGTGATCTCACAGTCTTCGCGTTTGTTTCACAAGTCATTAGTCGCGGCCATGGTGTACTCCTCTATTTTCCTAACGTGATTACTAAACGGTGGTAGTACGTAGCTATCCGCTTCTTCTGTTGGCCACTCTGAGCAATTCCCATTTCGCCATTTCTATGTGATTCCCGATTTTACTATTTTTGATCCTCTCCGGTCTCTTGTTCCATCTTTGAACCATCAGTGTAGATGGGTATACCTCCCTTTGCTACTTACTGTCAGTCCTGCAACCTATTCTATTTGTTTCCCCGAATGTCGACAGAGAAAAAGTGGGTTCTAGTAACCAATACCAGTTCTGCCTTGGAGCGGTTAACCTCAATCTATTTTGGCTGGCCCATTTAGATATATCACCCAGTCACCCTCCATTAGTTCACTTATCGTTGATGAGTGATGAGCATCACTAAATCGTCGGCATAGGCGACAACCCCTATTCTCCTAGTTTTAATAATTCCCAGAAGTTCGCCACTAACAGCTATAGGAGAGGGGATAGCACACCCCCTTTAGGCGTGCCACTGGTGGCATTCCTTCTCACCGGTCCCGTGTTTATGGTCGCGTTGATTACTCTGCTCTTGAGCATTGAGCCAATTCATGTCTATATGGTACTTGGGAAGTAGTAAAGATATTACCTTGGTGGAAAAAGCCAATTAGTACGTAGGAGCACTATGAATTTTAAGTTTTGTGTAAATCTTATGCTTATACTTTCTTCTAAATAAACATATGTATGCACACTAGGGTGGTCCAAAAATGTATGGGAGAAAAGCAAAATCGGAAATTTAATGCTCTCACCCCCTAGGATTGTTCTATACCGAAAAAAGTATACCCCTGTTTTTTTATTTTAAAATCAAAATATATTTAGAGGTCGCTCAAAGCGCTCAAAGTTTCCCATGTATTTTGTATGGGGAAAAAATACTTTTCGTAGAAATGGCATAAAATCCATGAAAATCAAAATTTTTCAATCTGAAAACTCTGCTTCTCTTCAGAGGACTTCAGAGAATAATGCCCAATTGTTTATTTAAACGTTTTTTAATTTAAACAATTTTTTCTTTTTTTCGTTTGTATATTTCTGTTTGTATATTTGATTTTTTTTGGGATATTTCGGAGACCCTTAAAAAATAGTTAAAATTAAAAAATGTTTAAATAAACAATTGGGCATTATTCTGTGAAGTCTTTTGAAGAGAAGCAGAGTATTCAGATTGAAAAATTTTGATTTCCATGGATTCTATGCCATTTCTACGAAAAGTCTTTTTTTCCCCATACAAAATACATGGGAAACTTTGAGCGCTTTGAGCGACCTCTAAATATATTTTGATTTTAAAATAAAAAAACAGGGGTATATTTTTTTCGGTATAGAACAATCCTAGGGGGTGAGAGCATTAAATTTCCGACTTTACTTTTTTTTGGACCACCCTAATGTACTCACATATGCACGAGCATGCATCATTTCAACCAACACATTGGCAGCAGTTCCATAGTATAGGAGTTTTTCTTGAAAGCAGCCTACTGCAGTAGAACACACAGCTAGGCACAAGTTGTAATCATAACAAATATTTTCATAAAAGAAACTCATACCAAATATTAGCTTTGTTTTCGTTTTTTTTTTTTTTAATTTGACGAGGGTATGATTCACTTCATTTCAATACGAAGGTCAAATGTAAGTGCCGTAAGAGTTTGTTGAGTGGATACTTGGGAAGACGTGCCTTATTATTTTTCCTCATTTCTTACAAAAAAATATAGAAAAATAAGTAATGGCGTTCTGAGAACATTCGCCAAAATTATTTTTGCTGCGGAATGCAAACAAAAAAAGAAATACATAAAATGCAACGAAATTTAATATGAAAAATGACAAGAGTAATAATCATATTTGGGAAGAAGCGGCAAAGCTGTGCATACAGTTACTAATGAGCAACAAAATATTAAATTATAAACAAAGAAGTACAGTAGAAAGACGATTATGTAATTCAAACTTAACTCTTACCAGTTATCAATCTTAGACGAGAATCGATTCTTGCAGCAAAATTTTTGCATTCATCCTGTTCAAAAAAGTTAAACCAATAAAACCCGCCCGCAGGCCCCCTTTAAAGATCCTTATTGCACCTTGTGACATTAAATAGTACACACAAAAATTCCAAAATATATTCTCGAACCCATGGGCCAAATATAGTTAAACTACGCTTTTAGTTTTTCTCTCTGACGTCAGGATTTCGTTAAAAAAAAATCCGTGCAACGTAGAAAAGCATTATGGATATTAAATTAAAGAAAAAATTCTGTACAATTAAAGCCAACTAAACTTTTTGATACATAAGGTGTACGATTAGGTGTAGAAAATGTCCATTTAAGTTCTATCCTTGAATAACCTTGAAATTTTGCACTAATTATTTTTGCAAAAATTATAAGGACTCAATAATACACACTTGATCACATACTCGAATTTTGTCCTTCTAAATTTATTATCTTAAAAAAATAAAATTAATCAAAAATGCATTTTTAATACCTATTCATCCTTGCAAACCAAAAATTTTCATATTTGTTGTTCTACATTACACTGAATTTTTTAAATAATTGTTGGAATCAATCATCAAAGTGTTTCTAAGAAAAAAATTCTGGCGCCAGAGAGAAAAACTAAAAATGCAGTTTTACTATATTTGGCCAATAGTTTTGTGAGTATGTTTCGAAATTTCTTTGTTTTTGTCAATCGATTGCGGGGAAAAAAGTATGCAGTAAGAGCAGGTATGTACATCTCCAGCGTCAGTGCTCGGTACAGCATTGTGGAATGAATGTACAATGGTGCAATGGTCTGCTGGCTTCGCTGAAGTTATTGTGCTGGTTGTGCTGACTGAACACTTGAAAAATATTGAGATAAAAGCGAAGACGGCGCCAGCGATGCCCAGCAGAAGAATGGGCAGTATAGACTTATGCATGGCGTCAGAAAAAAACCGAATAGGCCACCACACTGAGAAGATCCTTTTTCACCCTAACATACAGATAAAGATCAACTATTTACATTATTGGTAATCGTAGCCCATTGGATGTAACTGATCCCTTGAGAAAGACCTTAAAACTAAATACATATAACCCGCATTCTAAAATGGTTAGTCTAACATTGTGCACAAGTCCTACACTTGTAAACATAACCTATCTGAAAAAAGAAACATCCGGCACACAAAAGGGGAAAACTTTACTCTTAATAGAAGATAAACAGAAAGTTGAACGTCTTTAATGGGTGAATGCAATTTTTTAAGTTTGAGGGAAATGCAATATTTTGCTGTCCAAGATGAAACGCCGGCTACAAACATCCGCTTAAGAGCCGTCGGGATAATTTGTGCTGGCGTAATTATCAGCTGTACCACTTTAAGGGGTTTTACTGTAAAACAATAGAATGTTATGCAGTCCCACGGTAATGCAATTGGCATAGCACAAAGTCGAAAATAATATATATTTTTTTTTAACTCACACAAAACAAAACTCAGCAGCCAAGTTTCATAATTATAATTTGGCAGTTAAAGCAGCACTTTGTTAATTGCAAACTGGACACATAATTATGTGCAAATATGTTTTAAATGAGTTTGCAGAAGACGAGCGTAAAACAGGAAACAACAATGCAACTGGGGAAAGGAGGGAAAGGAACAAAATTTTAGTGAAAAATGTCATAATTTGCTGCGCCACTTTAGCTGAACGAAGAGTTAATGACAAAGTTAACATTTCCATGCAAACATATTTTTTGAAATATAGGCAGCTAACGCGAAAAAAAACATGCTATTTATGTATGTACATATGTATAAGAAGTTGCGTAGCAGGGCGGATATTCCAAGGTATTCAACGTAACTAAGGGTACATTGAGGCGAAAGTAGTCTCGTACAAGCGGAAAGGGAATGGTAAGATTCCATAACTACTACATATATATGGGGCGTTCCATACCAAAATGAATGGGGTTCACACTTCATGTGTTTGATTTGTTTTACATTTTTAGGGTTGATGGATAAACATAAATAATAAATAAATATGAAATTTGAGCTTGATTGATATACTTTTTAAAACTTTACAGCACAAAAACAAATCGATTTTATAGT